AATAACTTTATATTAAATGTGAATTTTGAAAATCCAACCGTTAGATTGAAAGTTCATAACTCTTAGATCATCTATATCAAATTTTATATTAATCTAAGATGATTTGATACTTCATTCTCATAAAACAAAATTGACGTAATATATACATTTCAAAATATACTAAAATATGAACACTTTGATTACCTTAAAGTTGTTGTTTAATTTAAACAAAATTTGATATATATGATCTAAGAGATATGAACTTTCAATCTAACGGTTGGATTTTCAAAATTCACATTTAATATAAAGTTATTGAGCGGTGTAACACTTAGTAAAAGTTACATCGCTGTCGTTTGAACCCTCATATATATATATATATATGTGTGTGTGTGTGTGTGTGTAAAAGATGAATTTGAGTTAGAGTTTTTGTAAGTAGAATGAGATGAGAATGCATCTTAATTGGGAGAAGAACCCTCAACACAAAAATAACTATCTCTCTTTATCTTTCCTCCTTTTATGACTCAATAATTATTTTATTTCTTTTTTTGCTATGAACTTTATTTTATTTTTAAATTTTTATATTGTGAAATTGTGATTTTTTATATTTTTAAAAGGAAATTATCATAAGACATTGTGATATCTTAGAATTTAATACTAAAAATATTTCTTCGCGAGTAAATAATTAAAATCAATTAAAAATTCAAAATTTTTATCTTTGACTCTTTATAAATTTAAATGTATGAAAAACAATCTTGAACTTTTATCGTATATAAAAAATTTACAAAATTCTATAAAGTTTACAAAATTTCGTAGAATCCATTAAAATCTTGATTTAAAAAGCTTGTAGATTCCATTAAATTCCTAATTTAAAATTTTGTAAAATCCTATAAAGTCTTAAAAATCATGAAAATCATGCAAAATTTTTCAAAATTCACAGAACTTTTTTCAGCTAAAAAAATCTTTGAAAATCTTAATCCAATACACCACCTTATTTTTAAAAAAAAATACTTGTTTAAAAATTCTTATTTTAAGTTTAAACAAAGAAAGTCTTTGAAGTGTTTTATGCATGAAAAGGAATTAGCTGTCATGAATAAAGAAATTAAGTTATTTTATTTATGCCCAACAAAACTGGCAGTAATACCACGGGAGAAGGCGGAACGAGGAAAGTGGGAGAAACAAAAGGAGGCACGTCACGTAGAGACGCACATGTGTGATGAGACCACGCAGGGACAGTGACAGGCGCAGATTCGCATTCGAATCATATTCCAACTCAGCGCAGTCCGAATCGCCGCGTCGAAGGCCGAAGGTGTGGGCTCTGATGGCGGGGCAATCGCGGAAGTGGATGATCCTGGTGGTCACCATTTGGATTCAGGCCTTCACGGGCACCAATTTCAATTTCTCGCAATACTCGTCGTCGCTGAAATCCACGCTCAACGTGTCGCAGGTGCAATTGAACTACCTCGCCACCGCCAACGACATGGGCAAGGTTTTCGGCTGGTCCTCGGGTCTCGCTCTCATGCACCTTCCTCTCTCCCTTGTTCTGTTCCTCGCTGCTTTCATGGGATTCTTCGGCTACGGCCTCCAGTGGCTCCTCATCAACGGTGTCATCGATTTGCCTTATTTTCTGGTAATTTTACACCTTTTTTTTTTTTTTTTTTCCAGGGAGTTAAGATTAATTATAATTTATTTCTGACTCCTCAATGGTGGCCATGTCACCAGACTCACCACCTACCTTCCCTCTGCTTCCGAGTGGTTGATTTTGTTTTATAGCCAGCCACCTGGGAAAGAAAAAAAATATACTGGTAATTGGATATTAAACATACTCTTTTTGATATATTTTTTTATTATTAAACGAATTTCATTTTTTTATTTAATAACCGTACTCGTAATTATTTAATTTTACTAACTTATAATGAAAATTATATTAAAAAATTGGTTGATACTCTTGTACCAAATTAAGTTTAAGAAAAGCAAAAAACAGTTATATTGGATGTAAAATTAAAAGTAATTCCAAAAAAAAATTTAAAAGTAATTATTCTCTGTTATATATTTTGTTGTGACGATTTGACAATTTTTATCTATTTTAATATGATTGTTGTTTTATGTATTATTAAATTTGTTATTATATCTTTAATTATTTTTTAATTAATGCTATTTTTAATACTTATTTTATTGGTAGAAGTTCAAAAAGATTTAAAAGTACCTGGGAAAGTTTGATAGAAAATATTTATAAAATAAGATAGAGAGTATTAAATGTGGGTTAATAATTTTACCAAATATATGAATTCATGAGTAGATAACATGATAAAACTCTTAAATAGTGTACTTCTAAATTTGTATCAGTATTCAAATAAAACCGTCCTGTTTTATTTTTCTTTTCCAAAATAGTGAGAAAAATCATTTTATTTCCTTGAGGAATATTCTTTTTTTTTTCCAGTTCATAAAAATAAATAGAATTCCTGTCCGTGTATCAAATTGCTGAGTTTCCCAACCAATTCTTTTATGTTCCAATAAACACTCTTCACACTTCTTTGCTGAAATTTACGATAATATGTTTTTCAACTATAGAGTGATGATGTTTTTGGTACTTGGATGTTTTTGGTCAAATATAAGACTGTAGACGAGTTGAAAAAATATGAGTATATATCATACCAAAATTTTGACCTAAAGCAAGTAGCAAAGCAATTTATTGTTTAATGAAGTCTTAGGCACGTATATTTGAAATACTATTGTCGTCAAGTTTTACAGTTTCAAAGGGACGAATGTGGTTTTCCCTTGCGTGGTTTTCATTTCTGCAACCTTCCATATGTGGTCGCAACTTCATTCATAGCTCCACAAACAAAATAAAGTATTGGCTTTAAACAATAGAGCAGCCATGTTCTACAGTTTAAATTCTCCACAATTTATTTAATATATATTCGGACCTTACATATGAAAAACAGCTAACAGAGTCATGCCGTGAATGTTTTGGATTCATGATTGCTTCCCGTGAGCATAACTATAGTGCTACAGAGAAGGAAAAATAAATAAATTTCCATAAACATACTATTTTTTATAGTGTTCCTGCGTAGAAACACTCCTCTTGTCGTTCTTCCTTCTTGATTTTCTAAGTCTTCGGTGCCGACCAAATACTGTCTCCACGGGGTGGGGAGGGTACCTGCAAAGGCACTCCAACGATCAAGTGAGTATTCGGTACAGAGCAATAAGTACTTTTATATTGGATGATAACGTACCTCTTTATGTCACATCACCTGTGTATTTATAGTGACACAATTGGGCCTGGTGGGCCTTCAGTCTTGAGAGATGGGTAACACTTGAGTTAGCATTAATCTCCTCTTAATCTGGCATGGTAATTAGCGCATAATAAGTATCTAACTTGTCATGTGTTGTTTGTGATCTGCTCTTTGTTGAAGTCCTCGGCTAGGCATGAGGCCGAAAGGGTGTTTGGCCTCCCCCAAGGCCGAAGAGGTGTTCGGCCTAGGTCAATGCCGAGGAGGTGTTCGGTCTAGGTCAAGGCCGAGGAGGTGTTTGGCTCGTCCTTGATGGCAGTTGGGGGGGGTTCGTCCTATCCCGAGGCCGAGGGGGTGTTCGGCCTACGTCAATGCCGAAGAGGTCTTCGGCCCAGCTTAATACCGAGAGGTTTTGATGGGTGTTCTCTTCTAGTGGTAAGGGAGTCCTGGAGTACCCCCTTTGGCCGAGAGGGTGTGTTCGGCCCATCCTCCAACCGAAGGGGTGGTGTGTTTTCGTCGGCTCGGGCACCCCTTTCGGCCTATTGCCTGACCGAAGGGGTGCCTCCTAGTACATATAGCAACATGGCTTCACGTGATTGTGGCGCACCATACGGAGGCATAGAAAGTATGATTACAATAGTACTTGTAGAATCAACCTGCACCAGGAAAAACCCGAGTGTTGACAATACTTTTGGATCTATGTTCTATTCCTTAATCATGCTTGTTCAATTAAGGGTTAAATCCCATGTTTTCAAATTTTTAGTGGATTGATTAACAAGTCTTGAAAATGCTTTTTCTATTGATTGCAAAGAGTATTGGCAAAAATAATAACCAGTCTCCTTTGACCTTCATTGAAAGCCTGTGAGAACAAAAAATGAATGAGATGTTATGATTGAATCCATATTTACTTATTCACTATTCTGTGATACGTATGAACGTGTTGCAAGTGGCGAGCTGATAAATTCAGTTGTAGCAAGCATCGTTTTTCTCTTCATCAATACCAATCCCACATATTTTTTTAATATAAATAGTTATTAGTTATTTGATTTAATCTAGAAGTATTTCATGTCTCATACTAAATGAAAAACACTTGCATGATTTCTGTGCAATGATCTGTATTCGATAAAATAAAGGTGCTGTATCTTAAAAGAATTCATGTAAACATTGAGATTCATTAATTCTGTGATTACATCTGGAAACTAAACTCTGGCAGATTACCTCTTAAAAATCACCGAATCTTGTTATACAAAATAATTTGCTCATAGCCTACATCTCATTGACAATCCTTTGTTTTTTATTGGCAGGTCTTTCTTTTGTGCCTTTTAGGTGGTTGTAGCATATGTTGGTTCAACACAGTATGTTTTGTTCTCTGCATTAGGAATTTTCCTGTTAACCGAGCCCTTGCATTATCGCTCACTGTGAGTTTCAATGGCATTAGTGCAGCACTCTACACCCTTGCTGCCAATTCAATTGACCCTTCATCTGATTCACTGTATCTGCTTTTGAATGCTCTTGTTCCCCTTCTCATTTGCATTGCAGCACTTGTTCCTATTCTTCGCCAACCGGCTCTAGACCCTCTCCCTCCTGATGCAGTGAACCGGGACTCAGTAATATTTCTAATATTGAACTTCTTAGCCATTTTAACTGGCCTTTATCTTCTCCTGTTTGGCTCATCTGCTTCTGGTGTGACTTCTGCTCGGCTCTATTTTTGTGGAGCTATTCTTCTCCTCATCTTCCCATTATGTATTCCTGGCATTGTATATGCTCGTGCTTGGTTTCGCCGTACCATCCATTCCAGCTTCCGGATGGAAAGTGCTAGCTTCATTCTTGTTCATGATGATGATCTTGAGATGCATAAAGAGCTCCATAGCCGTCAAAATAGTATTGTTAGCAATGGAGATACTTACGGCCTGCTAAGTGACAATGGACACTTGTTTGGAAGTCAGAAGGAAAAAGATAGCGATTTGTGTTGTGAGAGGGTGATTGGCCAGGATCAGTTAGCAGTGCTAGGAGAAGAGCACCCAGCTGCAGTAATTGTCCGCAGATTGGATTTTTGGCTATACTATATTACATACTTCTGTGGAGGTACAATTGGTCTAGTCTATAGCAATAATCTGGGACAGATTGCTCAATCTCTGGGCAAGAGTTCAAATACTTCTACACTTGTTACACTCTATGCATCCTTTTCCTTTTTTGGTCGCTTGCTTTCAGCTGCACCAGATTACATTCGAAAGTAAGTATTCTCTTCAATCTCTGATGTATTATACTTTTGGAGCTTCCTATACAGGAAGATAATTTTATTCTGCCTCTGTTTTTAATTGGAAGTGAATCTTGGAAATAAATTGTAACAGTTATGTTGATTTAATCTTTTGCATTGCAGTAAACTCTATTTTGCAAGGACTGGTTGGCTATCAGTCGCACTTATACCAACCCCAATTGCCTTCTTCTTCCTTGCTGCATCAGACAGTCTTCTGGCACTGCAGACAGGCACTGCACTGATTGGATTGAGTTCTGGTTTTATATTTGCAGCTGCTGTGTCGGTTACATCTGAGCTGTTTGGACCCAACAGTGTGGGCGTCAATCACAACATTCTCATAACAAATATCCCTATTGGATCTCTGCTCTATGGTTTTCTTGCTGCACTAGTTTATGATGCTAATGCAGACTCGACACCAGGAAACTTAATAATGTCTGACTCGGTCGTGTGTATGGGAAGGGGGTGCTACTTCTGGACATTTGTCTGGTGGGGATGCATATCTGTCATGGGACTAGGTTCAAGTGTGTTATTATTCTTAAGAACCAGGCATGCATATCATCATTTTGAGAAACACCGTATTTCAACACAATCGATTGTGTCATAATTTTTGTCATTGATGGGCCTTGAAGATCATGGTGTGTCTGAATTCATTTGTACAGTAGCAGAAGCTTCACGTGTATATGGACAAATATGCATTGGGAGGTTGAGATTAGAGGAGCAGAGTTAAAGCTAGGTTGATTCTTCAGGAACATATGTATGGTAGTGTTATATTGTAGAGAAGAATTGAAGATTCAGAAGCAAGAGGATAAGGATTTTGTTTAACTCTTTCAAAGTGCACAAAAAAATGAGAAAAAAAAACAGGGTATAGAAGTAATCTCAGGAACTACACATCAATAAACATAATGACATCTGAACCTTCCTGAAGTTTTGCCTGTCTTGCAAATTCTGATTACTCATCATGCTAAACTTAGAATCCTAACACATGTATTTGTAAATTTTCCCTCTCTTTCCATCATCTTTATCATGTTCTGAATCATTGGCGTGAGCTTTGTTGAGACCATAGAAATAAAGTGTCTGTTTATTTTAAGTATCAATGAAAGATCATTTGTATATCCACATAGAATAAGACTCAGTTTGCCCATGTATCGATAGAATATATTGCTTTCATTTTTAATAAATCTCCTTTATTTATTGTATCCTCCGATATTAGATACACCAGAACAGAGTCATCCAAGATGGAAGCCATAATTTTTGAAATTGATTCACGAAATTATAATCATTTGAAAACTATATCTGATAATTGTTTAAAAATTTGAATATAATTTTATCATAGTGAATAAAAGAAAAATGAATGAAAGAAAGGTATAAAAGGAGTTTCTAGCCCTAAACTTCAAGGATAGGTACAGAACGTACGATCTTTTATACATAGAAATAACCTCTCATATGCTAATGCCATCTTTCTTGCTGTAAACATTTTAGCTGCATATTCCCGGCATGCCTTGCCCCTCCTTGCTAGCCTCTGCGGTCCTTCCTTTACCACTGCTTCCAGTGCCTCTAAAAAGGACTCTACATTCGGCGAAAACATGAAACCATATTCATCATCAACCACAATAGTCCCTTTAATGCTTGGAAATCTTGAGGCCAACAATGGCTTCCCACTCATCATTGCCTCCATCAAAGTAAGGTCAAGCCCTTGTGGTCTGAGTGTGGGGTTGACAAAAATGTCAATAGCATTATAGAAAGCTCTTAACATGGAAGGACTCATTGATCCCAGAACAAGAACCTGGCTCCCCAAATCCCTGTACCTGTTCTCCCATGGTCCAGAACCAGCAACAATCAAGTACACATCAGGGTACTTGGTTATAAGCCTTGAGTAGGCTTCATGAAGCAGAGAATGGCCTTTGTCCTTCACTAATCTTCCAGCCACACCAAGTACCAAACTTGCATTCCCCGGAATGCCAATTTTCATTCTGAATTCCCTTCCCAATTCAACATCTTCTCCAAAGTCATCCTCATCTACACCATTCAGTATTACATGGACTCTTTTGTTGGGAATTTGGTACACATCCCTCAGCATCTCACCACAACTATCACTGATAGCAACATGATGGGCATAATTCCTGAAGAACCTTATCTCGTTCAGCACCTTAGGCACAACACCTTGTATGCTCTTGTTGAAAAGAGGGGACATAGGCTCGTCAGGCCGGCGAGCCAAGTCCTGGAAAATGCTTGATTGCAAGCTCTCAAGGGCTATGCCATGCCAAGACACTGCAAGGTTTGACATGTTCCTTGCTAGCCAGTGAGGGAGTGCCACACTTTCTGAGTGCACAACATCAAATGGTTCTCTCTGGTTTTCTTCCACAAACTGTTCCCATGCCTTGTTATAGCGCCACCTGCCAGGCTCACCATCATGGCAATGGATGTAAGGGCGAGAAGATGCACCTTGTTCATGATTGTCTTTGTTTATTGCAGGGCTTTCATCTTGGGGTGATGTGAAGACATGAACTTGATGGCCACGGTGTGCTAAAGCTGTGTGAAGGGTGTGAGCATGACGCTCCATGCCACCAGGGATTGTGCTAATAGGCCATTTTCTAGAGAAGACAGCAATTTTGAGAGCAAAGGGTGGTCGGGTGTGTTCAAAATATGAGAGGCGGTTCCATGCAAATTCAACTAATTGAAGATCACCTGACCAAGTTTTAGCTTGGGAGGAAGCAAGGGTGGTGCATATGGAGGTGGTGGTAGGGGCATGGAGGAGGAAAATAACAGGTATAGTGAAGAGAACAATGAAGAAAAGAGTTGTGCAAAAGTAAAAATTTGAGGGTGAAATGGCTTTTTTGGACTTGGTGGTGAAGGCCATTTCCTCAGGGTGTTCTGAGGATATGGGCATAGAGATGCTTTGGTTTCTTGAGGGTTGGAATTATGTGATATTTGTGGTGAAAGATAAGGGAAAGGGAAAATGAAGAAGAATGTGAGGGGCCATTGGGGAGGTAGACACGCACTGAAGCAAGTGCGTTGAGTTTGAGTTTTCTAAGAGTGCGTTCCTCACGCCTGTCTTTCAGGCCAAAAAGTGGATTCATGTGATACGGGTTTCGTAAGTATTAGAATAATTAGAATAGTTAACATGCACGCACAATTAGGCGTACTCCAACACCCATGTAGACTTCAGATTAAGAATCATTAATATCCTGAATTCCTGGTTAAGTTTTCTTCTCTTTTGTTATGGAAAGAGGAACTCAGTCGCAACATGGAACAGCATCTTGTGAATCTTTTCCTTTTACGAGTTTTATTGTGATCTATAAAGTTAGATAGGAAAAAAAAATTCTCTTTAAAATTAAGTTCAATGTAATTTATAAGTTTAAACATACGATTACGTGAAACTGCACACATACTTTTTACTTTTTTAATGTTACGGTTAAATTCCTTTCGGATTCGCAATGTGATATATATATATATATATATATA